TATATATAAGAAATGGGTTTGGACTCACCTGGGCTGTATCCTTGGGTTGAAAAATAACTCCAAGAGTCATGAAAATTGCAATGATGACAGCTGCCCCCATAGTGGTCTCTTGAGTCACAGTGCTCTTGTATACACTGTTTGGCAACCCACTGCATCTGTCATCCTAGGCTTATCTAGCCCCACCTCGGAAGTCTCCTTTGCTCCTCTTCTTTGTTGCATTCCCCATATGTTGCACTGCATGTATTCGTCATGCTGGTTGCAAACTCAACTTTTGTTCAGGGAAAGACTACAGTAGCTTCTTGACAGGGTGTATCCTTTATTCAACCCTTGGAATCATTTGAGAGCTTAGATTATGTATAAGTCTTAGAATGGTGAAGGCCTTGTTTCATTTCCTACCTGACTGTATAGTTGCCTGTACGGTTTAAAAGCATCTAATCCCTGGGGGTGCCTGGGTGGCTCAGTGGGTTAAAGCCTCTGGATCACATGGTCCTGGGATCGAGCCCCGCATCCAGCTCTCTGCTCAGCGGGGAGCCTGTTTCCCCCTCACTCTCTGCCTGCCTCTCTGCCTACTTATGATCTCTGTCAAATAAGTAAATAAAATTTTTAAAAAATCTAATCCCTGGTCCTTTGTATGTCATCCAGTTATTACTCTCTGGAAATTCATGGATGCTTCTTTGTCCCCAGTGTTCTTAAATTTTAAAATAAAATGTCTTCCTATTGTTACTGTGCTGGGCACCTACCTGTCAGGCCATTTCAGTTTGAAGCTAATGTTCTTCAGTTCTTTTTTTTTTTTTTTTTTAAGATTTTATTTATTTATTTGACAGACAGAGATCACAAGTAGGCAGAGAGGCAGGCAGAGAGAGAGGGGGAAGCAGGCTCCCCGAAGAGCAGAGAGCCTGATGCGGGGCTCGATCCCAGGACTCTGGGATCATGACCTGAGCCAAAGGCAGAGGCCTTAACCCACTGAGCCACCCAGGCACCCCATAATGTTCTTCAGTTCTAAGAAATATTTTTTATTTTATTTCTGATAATTACTCCTTTCTCTCTTCTCTGGTTTTTGGAACTCCTATTATTTGAATGTTGGACTACTTAGCCCAGCCTTATTTTTCTTAATGTTTCTCTTGCATTTTGTGCCTCGTTTTATTTTTGCTCTACTTTTATGGAGATTTTCTCCCCTTCATCTTCTATTCTTTCTATTAAACTCTATTTATCCTGTCAATTTTTTTTTTTATTTTCAAGAATGTTTTTGTGCTCTGGTGTTCCTTCTCCTTTTTCTTCCTCATATTCTTTGTCTTCTTTTATATAATCTGTGTATATTTCATGGATGGAATATTTTCTTTCAACTCTCTAAGAATTCCCTAGAGAGGAGACTTCAAATCTCTTTCCAAAAAGGTAAGGTTCTGGCTGCCAACTGTTGGAGAGCCCAGTGAGGGAAGAAATCTGAGGATTTCTGCATTCTTCAGATGGTCAGTTAATCCCCCACTGTCTGTAAAGTATTTGCACCTGCCAGAGTGGTTGGTGATATCTAGTCATCTACTTTGGCTACCCCCTCCATCCTTGGTTTGTGAGGCACCTGAGACTGCCAGTTTGCAAGACTTCTGAGGGTTTTAGTGTATAAATCATGTTTGTTCTCATCAATCCCACCCATGGTTTAGGATTAGACTCTATAGGAGCTCTGGGTCACTTACCAATTTTCCACCTGCTTCATCTGTTACTATCTGCTCACTGTTTCTCTTCTTTTTTCTTGGTTTATACCTTTAAAAAAATCCATTTAGTGTAATTTAGCAGCATTTCTTGTAAGAGAAAATGTGGGTGTTAAATCTGCCATCTTAACTGAGAAGCCGGCTTGTTCTTTATTGCTTAGAACTTATAAATTCTACTTGGTCCCCGCAATAAAATTCCATTATGTAGTTTGAGGGTTGGCTGTTGCTTACTGGCATCAAGTAAAGTCTCTAATGCCAAAATAAGATGAATCATCAGGAGCAGGGATCATGATGCTAATGTCCAAGTGATAACTACTTCCATTGTTGCCAGTTAATATGAAGGAAACCACTGCAGTGGTAGTTAGTTGTCCATTTTGTTAAAGGAAGATGACAACTTTCCACAAATTTCTGCTTTCTCCACCATGTCAAGCCCCAAATGAAACTGTCAGGTCACAGTATTTTTATACTATAGTTTTTTTGTTGTTGTTTTTTTTTTTATCACAGAAAGAGTAGAAGTTTAAGAAAACAGGAATATAGTTTATGGAACTACCAGCTAATCCTTATAGTATTGTGGCGAAATGAAAGATACATGATGAGATATATTCGTTCTCTAGCTAAAGTTGCTCAAAAGATAGTAAAGGGAGTACAGGAGAAAGAACATTGATGTTTTGGTTATTCATTTTTAAATAGAGTGTTGCATTTACTCTTCACAAAATTTGAGAAGATACCTATCTATCCTAAATACCATAGTCATCACTATAAGGATCAGAGGAATTGAGTAATTTACAGGACCAGAGAGCTAATGTGAATAATTTGTAAGATTAAACAGTAGATTTGAATCCAAGAGAGAATGACTATAAATCCTTTGTACTGCATGCTACTACTTTCATAGAATATATTTGACAGCAATTGTCAGTAATCATGATATGAAATTGTGGTAGAGAATGGGTTTTTTAAGCCCAATTAATAGGTAACATCAATCAAAAGCACTCCTTCTCTTAATTGACTTCTTGAGGAATATTGCAGAGTAGCTGACTTTATACTTACAGTAGGAAATGAATGACAGGTCTTTGAAAACTTTTTCCTAGCACTACCTTCTTGATTTCAGATCTGGAATATCTACTCTCTAATTGTAGTTTAAAGTATTTGCTACCAAGTACATTGAATTTATGATCAGATTAACTCCAAGTATTGAAAATTGAAGGTAATCAGAGATGTCGACAGGATTCCTGCATTTCTATAAAATGTGTCTCCTAATTTAAGTAAATAGATAAGTATTGACTAAGTTTCACTTTTCTACACTCTCACATTTGAAATTAAGAGTAAACATCCTTAAGTAAGATTCTAACATGGGCTCTCATGTTAGTAAGTTACATTTTATTTCCACAATATTTGACTTTCTAAGCCAAAATTCTAGCTTTTCCTACTCATTCCTTAAGTGTCAGAAATCCTTAATCTTTCTTTACCTAAGTAAGTAACCTTATTTGGACCTATGTGGTGGTCTAGCCGAGGATGATTAGTTTAATCAATACTTTTAGGAATCTCCTCACTGAATTTCCTTTCCATTTTTTAAAGATGCATGATTTCCATACTGATGACTTTTTTGATGTTTCTGGTTATATTCAACAAGAAGAGAAAAACTGCTTTTCCAGATTATTATTTCCCCTAAACACGGGACACTTGCAAGGCTCTTTACCCTATTGCTTACCCACCCCCTTGCCCCAATCTAACACATGCTCTGTCTCCTGCTCCAAACCTTTGTTTTAATGCCTCCCCTGGAAAGCTGACTTAGCTCTTTCACGCTTACTCTCTAAGCCCTTCTTCCTCTTTTTACAAACTCTTATTGACTATCTACCACTGCTCTACCAGACATTATGGTTGCGAAGGTAAACAAGTCATTCTTGATGAGAGAGTCCACACTTATGCACATGGTTACACATTCTACCCAATGATGGATGCTTTCAAGCTTTATGTATGTAGGACTTTGGTTTCCATTGGAGGCATCAGTATCACACCCTGTTTCTTTAGGTTGCCAATCTAAGAGGTCATAATGAGGAAGAAGCTATTTCTTTTTCTTCAGACTGTCCTCACTTCTCTAACTAAAAGAGACAATGGGGTTTCATATCTTACAGAGAGCCTAAAAGTACCCTCCAGGCAAGAATTAGCTCCTACAGTTTTCAAATGACTAAGCTCATACATTTAATGTAGCCTATGCTACACTTATTATTGTGTATAGGTATCTTCTCTATGACCTTGTGGGTTCTTCAAAATTTCTCCATGTGTTTTATATGTATTTTATGCTCTATATTATTAATTTTTAATTCATTTTGCATTTTCAGACCCATTTATTGATGATAAGACTTTAACAATTCCATGAATGAAAGATTTAGAAAATCTTTAGTGAATACCAGTGTCCTATCACGTGTTTGCTAAACTGTAATTGGCTAATTCAGAATTTCGAAGGGTATTTTTTTGGTTAAATTATGGATTTTATTATACAACTGTACTTTTAAAATTAGAGATAGGCAATACATTTTTTGAAGTTTTGGAAAGGAGACAATGTTTCAGGAATCTTGCGCTTATCTGTGATGTAGGGTGTTCTATCCGTTAAAGCCGTTGTGGAACATTCGCCGCCACCTAAATAGAAGGTATTTAAGACACATAGCAGCTTTTCCTAACTGTTCCCTGAAGCCCTGCTGCTACTGCATTTCCACTGACCATGTTTAAAGTCAATGGGATTTTTAAACTGTAAACCTTCTAGAACCTTTTATTTATTTATTTTTAAACATTTCATGCCTATGTAGTTCTGGTGTTGGCCACCAGGTAACAACAGTGCCTTGAGTAGCTTGAGTCTCTTGAACAGGGAACCACCCACAAACTGACAGAAATATTAAACCCCACACATTCATGAGAGAAAGGAGTAAGTGTCCAGAATTTTTAATTCCTCTTTGGCAATACATGGACTATCGAAAATGCAGGCATAAATTATTAGCTGACGGTAAGTCACCTCCCAGTCCTGCAGCCCACTGTTCTTGTGGCATTATACTTCATCCCAGGACCACCAAGACAAAATGAAGGCTGACCAGGTGGCAAGAGACAGCATAGCTCATGCAGGGAAAGCATCCAAAATAAAGAGATTGGGTCCCAGGGAAGGTTTTAGGAGAATTTTGGATATTGAAATGTCCAAAACACTAATAATATTTATGAGAGACTTTTTTAGCCATAAGAAACAAATATATGCCAATCTAGGAAAATCAAATATGTTATTTTAGACTTTTCTCTTTCCTTCCCCCTTAGCTATCCCTCTGGGTATTCTAGTTGTGCGTGGAGACTGTGATTTGGAGACTTGCCGTATGTACATAGACCGCCTACAGGAGGTGAGTTTCTTTAGCCAATTATTTCTTCTCAGTTTTCCATTTTTGTAAACAATTACCAGCCATATATATTTACTTCCGAAATGACGCATCTGGGAAGGAAGTGGAAATGTTGTGTCCTCGTCCTTTAAGCACTGACCACATCTTCTCTCTCTCCAACCCCCACGGCTATTCTCCCTCCACAGGTGGTTGAAATGGGAAAGGGTATTGCTCTAGTGTGATCCATAACTATAGCTTGGAACTTCTTGTCTTCTTGCCAGACGACATCCCTGTGTTTTTTGAGCTGTAGAGAATTTCAGAGGGTCCTGATCAATCATGATGGAGAATAGACAGTTAGGTTATTTAATGTTTTGTATCTAGCACTCGGGTCAGAGATCACTACATTTTTTAAAAAAATATAACTTCTACGAGAAAGAAAAACCTTCTGTCCTTCCTGGGAATGTGTATCAGAACACAGGATACTCCATTTTGCTCCTCAGTCTGATTTACCACAGAGAAGGACAATGGAAGAGACCTCATATGTGGCATTCCTACTAATCCTACTAAACTAACACTGTGGTTGTCATTGATTGTTTTTGCCAAACTTTGAGAGGGAATAGTCATTCTCTTCATTCTACAAATGATGAAAAACATAAATAGCCACCACTTCATCATTTTTTCTTGATGAAAGGTGCAGATTTAAATAATCTTTTTCTGGATGTGGTCTAGACATTTGTATTTTTTAAGCTATTGGGTAATTCTGATAGACACCACAAGATGAACAAGTCTCTCCTAGATGACACATTCTCCATAAGTAAATATCATAAATAAAGAAGACATATAGCACTTAAAATACCACCAAGTTGAGATGCCTGGGTGGCTCAGTGGGTTAAGCCTCTGCCTTCGGCTCAGGTCATGATCCCAGGGTCCTGGGATTGAGCCCCGCATTGGGCTCTCTGCTCAGCGGGGAGCCTGCTTTCTCCTCTCTCTGTGCCTGCCTCTCTGCCTACTTGTGATCTCTCTCTCTCTGTGTCAAATAAATAAATAAAATCTTTTAAAAAAATACCATCAAGTTGTAACCACTTAGCTTTGAACTTGAGATTCTAGTTCTTTTGGTGGCAGTAAATTCAGGCCTAGGAGGCATAAAGTTACATGAAAAGTTATGAAGTTTCCTTTTCAGCATTTTTAAGGATAGAGATGGAATTGTGAACACAATATATTTTGAGGTAAAGACCAAACTTTGAATACTGATAGGGGCGAGAGAAGAAAAGTCAGCAAATTTTACACTTGTGTTTGTTTTTGTTTTTATTTTTGTTTTTACCAAGGGAAACTTCAACTTGTTAAAATTTGTGGACTTAGTAGTGTATGACTCAGACCCAAATTGATATTCCTCAAACGCCACAATATCTCATTTTTCCAAATGTGTTCTTATTTTATTGTGAAACCTCTGTCAGAAAACCTGCAATAAAAAGGCAAATCATAAATCATACCAAAGTTTTTTTTTTCTTTTTAATTCTTGGGTTACTTAAGATTTCACAGTAGTCTACGACATGACTGATGAATTGACTTTGGTGAAAACTAACTTATTGGCATGCTTATAATACCAACAGTCAACTGAAAGCGAGATTCTTTTTTAAAAAAAATGAATGAACAAATGAAGTCAAAAAAGGAGAAGTTTTAAAACTAAGTTGGGCACAGAGATCATGTTGGTAAATTCCCGTGGGAAGCAGGTATGAAGACAAATGTACCCAGGATTGCTGACATCTGTGAATAGAATCACAACCCTCATTAACAAGGAAGCCTTCAGGACATGATCATGGTGACAACTTAGTTATAAAACTTTATAAAGGGAGCCAGACTCTCAGAATCTGCCAGTAAAACTTCATTAATTTCAACCCTATTAATTTGCACTTCGTGATCATGCAGAGGTGGCCAGTGATTTTCTCCTGGCTGTCTATGAAAACCTGTGTTTGCCAAGCACTTAGTGGCAGAAACACAATTACTAGGACAGTTTGTATTTGGTATAAGATCAATAAATTCTTTCTAAGTACTTAAAGGGATTTTAGAAGTTTTCTTCATAAGCCAAAAGTTCAGGTGCAAATTAAATATGGCACCCTTGTATCAAAATGAAATTGCCCGGTTTTTACTTTTGGTCTTGTTGATCCTTGAAACGCTCTCACTCCCCTCTAAAACTATTTAGGATGTCTAGATTTCAGTAGCTAAATGGCCTTTCTTCTCTCATTCCAGGCTGGTGTGTTTTTGCTTATTTGGGGCATTACCTTCGTTGTGTAAGGTTGATGAGTTTGGAAGAGTTATAGATACTTTCTAGATGAGCTTAATACTCAGTCAGGGGTTCAGTTGATAGAGGTATAGAGGAAGCTTGTTCAAACTAATCTTAAGGTATGGATTTTTTTTTTTTTTCCATTTTCTCATTAGGACCTGCAGTCAGTTTCTTCTGGCTCCCAGAGAGTTCTTTACCAGGTAACATGTAATTGACCCCCTGTGGTTGTTTTCTTAGCTCCCCCCAAAAAAGAAGGTCCTTCTTTCAATCAATGCTTCATTTGGATTAGAGGCCAGATCTTCCCTAGGGATAGAGTTCACTCGAAGACCCAAGTGAAGTGGACATTCTGATTCTTTCCCTTTTCCTGGTTTTGGATTATCCTAGTGTAGCACAAATTTGGACTGTGGATTTTCTCCCAGGTCACTTAGGAAAGATTATAAAAGGAAGCGCTTTCAGTGATAAATATTAGAAGCTCAGTTCAAACTAACTTGACAGGGTTCAAGTCTTATTGTTTCACCTCAGCAAAAAGTTCAGGTCAAGGGTGGATTTTATGTACCATTTAGTCAAGCTTTTTGCTTCATTTTTCTGCTGGTCTTTCAGCTCTGTTCTCCTTGTCTGTCAATTTCACCTCTGAACTAGATGTTTCCGTGTCCAAGATGGCTGCCATTAGCAACCAGGGCTGCATGTGTCTTCTTCACATCCAGGAAAGTGAGTTCTCTGTTTCCCACAATGATCAAGCAAATGTTCTAAAATGCAGTCTGATTGGTGCACCCTGGTCTTTTGGACAGGATCTAAGAAACCCAGCCTGCCTCTCTCTCGTGACCCACATCAAATCATCAGGAAAACACTCAGATATCCTTTGCCCCAGCAGTCTTTGGGAAGACAACAATCTCCCCACTTTCCTGTCCCGACTCTGTTGCATTCTCAAGCCATCCTCTTACAAATTAGATTTCTCAGGCATGGTTCAGATCCCTGGGTACAATATACCCCAAACTGTAAGGGGCAAAATGAAGCTCTGAGTGGTCCCAGTAAAGCCCTTTTCTCTGAGAAGCCATTCCCCTTCCCTACTAGAGGGGTGTGTGGGAGTCAGAACATGCCAAGTCTCCCTCCATAAATAAATCCTGTCCTAGACCCTTTCATACCTCCATGTGGGGGATAGGTGTTTAAAGATGTCTCAATCTGTGAATCCTGGCTTAGCACCTCACATTTGCTTTTGGATTCTTTTTTGCTACACCTAAATATCCTTTCATATAAACAACATTTTTTTTAAACAACAATTTTTTAAAAATTTTATCTTGTAGCCTCTAGGTAGCATCTCTGTCTGCTGGTGGATACCCTCTACCATCAGCCAAGGATACTGACAAGAACAGCCTTGGTGTTCTTATTTGTTTGTAGGTTTATGTTTCAAACAAAGTGCCCCACTATTTAAGAGTCTTTTCTTCCATATGGCTGCAATAAAAAGGATAAGAATTCACTTAGGGTGTGTTTACATTGAGAAAATAAACTCTACTTCTGAGACTGTTTTTTATCAACCATTAAAAGGCTAATTTCCACTCCATTTTTTAGACAGAGCACAACATTCCTCCTGTTGGTTATTTGCATATTTACCTGAAGACACTAAGTTTAATTTTATTTTTAAAAGCTCAGTACCTTTAGAAGCTAGCGCTAATCTCTATTTTTTTTTTTTTAAATTGACTCTAAGACCTATAAGGGTTCGTGAATCTTTTTTTTTTTTTTTTAAGAGTCTGTACTCTTTTCTCAGGAACATTTTGCATTTTGCATTTTTATCAAGGCATTTTCAGATATTTTTTGCTAAGCAGTTTTATGAAACTAATACATCTGTTTATTATTATGACTTACTTGATATCATCATTTTGGTGTCAGAGTTTTAGTAGGTGGATATTTTGTCCCATGTTTTCTTTATACTGTATTTGTATGTTTGTCCAGAGATCAGGAAATGGTTGAGACTCTAGAATATGAGAAGGGTATTTGTTTCATTTGTCATTTGGTAACAAAAACATGCAGAAGAACTATTCATCTAACTATATCAAAAGCTTGTGTTTTTTGGGTTCCTTGCAGTTAGGTCAAACTTTGGTGTCAAAACTGCTGCATTATGAATGTCACATCAGAAGGCTTTATGCCCTGACCACATAGGATAACCAATTCAGGGACCAAACATGAGTGTCAGGAGTATTACTGTGCCCACAACGCTCCTTGCAGAGGTATAAATAACAGGGGCCTTTGAGTATTAAGGAAGGAGTGAAATAAAGGAAATCTAGGGCAGCCCAAGTTCTGCTCATGGCATAAGAAGTTTACCTGAGCGAGACTTTGAATTAACACGGCCACGGAGTAGGGAGAGAATGAGAAAATTTCCTGAGTGGAGCAGAGGAGAGCTGCTTGAGGTAAGGAGTTGGGAGGAAGATAAACATTCACATGTGGCTAGGACCTTGAGCAGTCAAGAAGAGAAGGAGTGAGTAAGAGGGATGGTGTTTAGAGAGCTCTGTTTTAGCCACCCTAATTTTGTTACGCCTGTTAGATCCAAGAGATTTTGGGGTGTAGAAAATGAGATCTGTGACTTTTAAAGCCCATTGAAAAATTCATATCTAGAGGTAGAAACTTGTACTTCCTACGTTAGGAAGTGGGTGGTACTTAAAACTGTAAGACTGAAGGTGATCACCAAGGAGAGCTGAGACAGAGAAGACTCGATGTCACACCTGCATGCCCGAGTCGGTCAAGAAGAGAACCATCAGTCAAGAAGGGTTGTAGAAACTGAGGTGAGTTGCAGGAAAACTGGAAATCAAGGAGAAGGTAGTGTCTTGAAAGCCAAGAGTGAAATGTGTTTCAGAGGGGGATGCAGTGAAATGTGTCAGTGCTGTGGAGAGGCTGAGTTGAAGTAGATTGAGTTCTGTGGTATTCTGAGGGCACCTAGAAAAACCGAGGCACAGAGGTGCTATTAGCTTTACAAAGAAAGTGACCAAACCAACTGGCAGGAAATTTAATATTAAATCTGTGTTTCCTAACACAGAAACTGATCATGTCAGTCTCTAGTCTGTCTCAGTATGGGGGGCTAGGGGGCGATGTAAAAGAAAGACCTGTCAGAAACACGGACCACAAATGGCCTTAAATGCATTTAAGTGGACTTTCTCGTGTATAGGATAACACAAGATAAGCCTGGAGAATTAACTGTGATGGCAGCAGTAAGTTAAGGGGAAAAATGTTGGGAAATTCCCATCAGCTCACTCATTGGCGGCTGACATTTTAGCTGACTGTTTTCTAAGGCTAGAAAAAACTCAAGAGAAAACCAGCATTTAGAAAGGTATATAAGTGCCCAAGTCACCTTATTAGTGAGCCATATGGCAGTTCCTAATCATTTAAGCATGTCATTCGCTCTACTTCCTTCCTTTCCCAAATTCATAGTGAATTGCCAACAAAGCACTAAGGCTCAACAATGACACCTTGTATTAACCTAACAAGGCATTATGGGTTATACAAGAATGCGCTGGATATTTATAGCCTGCTGAAAATTCCTGCCTACACTGTCTCTGAGGTCAAAACACAAAGGCCCCTCCATCTTAACGGCATCTCTTATAACCTGGAACTGATAAGTGAGACAAGCGAAATGCACTGTGCTGGCGGATTCAGGATATTCTTGAGCTTGACAGATAGGGTAGAATTCTTAGAGAAATTGGACTCTGCCGACATATTTGGTAGAAAGGATGCTTCTTGAGGCCATCTACAATGAGATAATTCCTTCCCTGTTCCCTCTCTGGTCTTCATTAGTACCTTTTTAACCCCAAGTTGATAAGTTAAGGAGTAGAAGGAGATACAACTGTTCTAGTGATTTTCAACGGGGAGATTTTGCTCCTTTATTAGGACAATTGGCAATTTGGACATTTTTTTTGTTTGTCACAGCTAGGACAGGTGGTGCTCTTGATATCTGCTTAGTAGAGGCCAGCAATGCCGCTAAACACCTTAGAATGCACAGGACAGCCCCCCACTGCAAGGAGTCATCCAGCCCCCTAATGGGAGTAGGGAGATGCTTGTGAACCCTTGAGTCATTCTGATGGCTCTCAAGACATTCTTGAGGCCCATAGGCTGATAGAAGTCCTCAGGAGAGGCAAAGAGGAAAGACCAGGATGAGAAAAAATAGGGCAGGGAAACAGGCATCTGTGACTAGGGCAGAGGAAGATAACAGAACCAGGGATAATGGAACCAGGAGCAGTTGGGCTTTCTGTAGACATCCTAATTTCCCTGCACAGTATGTGTTCCAGGGAGGACTGACATAGTTGGCACACAGGAGTGTGCTTTCCAGAATATTATGAGCTACCATCTGCGCTTTTAAAGACTACAATAGGATTCAATGTAGCTGCAAAAAAAAAGGCATTCGTCCAGGTGATTCTTCCTCTTTAAGAATTGATTTACTTAAAACTAACATCAGAATGGCTGGGGTATTTCAAAATAGATATACCATTTTCAAAAAGTTCTTTCATCCTTTAGAATGTCTTTCACTTCCATAAGAAAAAAATCCTGGTCAGATCTGAGTCTGTATCAATTTGTTCATCCTCTGATCATTTTTCTCCATTTTACATAATGACCTGATCTTCTGGGAGAGGGGTCTATATAGTCCATCAGAGCACTGTCCTAGGCAAACAGCTTTTGCTCATAAATACTTGATCTATTTCTCTTCTCTTCATGTTGACGATCCTTATTCATCTCTCTCCTTAATTTGTTTTCTGGATTTTAGAAGTCTTTCAATGGATGGGTTGAAACTAGTTTAAGGGAGTCATCCTGGGAATTAATTTAGTCTCAGGGAAGGACTGGGGTTAGCTAGGGACTTAGTAGAGTGTGGTTCCTTTGGGATAGATCAAAGCTGTCAGAAATGGATCAAATAAAGAATTAAAATAAGACTTGCCTAGGGCCAGGTCTGTTGCAAGTGAAGGCATTACTGCTAATAACACAGACATGCACAGACACACAGAGTAGTTGTTGATAGAGGACATTCTCACACAAAGAGCTCTTAAGAATGTTATACTATCTCTCAGTTTCCTCTTTTACCACACCGTCATTATTTCTTCACTTGTTCAAAGCTGCTTTTGGGAATGGGCATCCCTTTTCTGTATTCAGCTGCCGTAGGAGTTATGGGTAGTTTGAGGAGAGAGGGGTTTGAAGAGAAAGAGTTTTGAAAGATAAAAATAACAGTAGCAAGTCTATCAAGGAGGCTTATAGTTGGATGGAGAGGTGTAAACACACAGTTTCTACCCATCCCTGGTGGGTCCCTTCACCAAGGATAAAGAGATACGTTTATCCACTTGGTAATGAATGGAAACCAAAGGAATGAGTATATGGGTTGGGCAGGCAGATGAGAAATGTGGGTGTGTAAACGAGAGATCGATGTACAAGTGAAGTGGTTATTGACTGGACATTATTGAATGTAGTAGGGGTTCCCAGTCCAGAGGGACTTCTGTTTTTCCTCTTTGTCTTTTACATCTTCCCTCAGTTTTATGAAAGAGAAAAAATTTCATTCACAGTGATGGTATAGTTAAATGCTAGGTGAATACTGTTTAATTGAATTACCTACTGGAGTGTGTAATGGGGCTGCTGGGCTTTCATTAAATTATGTGGGCATCAGCTATGAGTAATTGAAAGTAAATTAAGGGCAAGTTTGGCATACGTGTGCCAAACAGTGGTTCAGGTAATTTCCTTATCAA